GAGGCGCGGGCCCCCGGGCCCGCGCAGCGGGCTGCGGCGCCGGCGGCCACGGAGGCACGCCTTTGGGGCCGCCGGGAGGGGCGTCCCCCCGCGCGAGCCGCCCGTCTCCTCTGTGCCTCCTCGCTGCGCCTCGCTCCTCACTGCTCTCCTCTCGCTCTTCCTCGTTCCTCCTCGCTCAGAATCGCAGTTTCTCGTTACGCCTCCTCCGACCCCCTCCTCCTCCTCCTCCTCCTCCTCCTCCTCCTCCTCCTCCTCCTCCTCGCCATGCTCATCCTCCTTCACCCCCTCCTCTTCATAGTCTTCCTCCTCCTCGCCCTCTTCATCCTCTCCACCCTTTTGTCCTCTTTCCTACGCTCACGCTTCCGGAGTGAAGGCAGTGGCAAGGCGGAGGCTGAGGCGGAGGAGGATGACAGCTGCGATGAGGGGTAGCAGGTGGAAGAAGGCAGCCGCTGCCACTCAAAGAGACAGAGACGCATAAACATCAACCTGCGAAGGCTCGTGCGGACCTCCGAAAGCTGATGGTTCGGCCGCCGTGATTGTTTCGAGCGACGAGAGCGAACAGAGCAGGAGGAGGAGGAGGACGAGGAGCAGGAGGACGAGGAACAGGAGGAGGACGACGAGGACTTGTGAGGAGGACGAGGAGCAGGAGGAGGAGGGGGGGACCTGTGAGGAGGAGGAGGAGGAGGAGGAGGAGGAGGAGGACTCTGGACTCTGGACTCTCATGAAAGCTCATGGGCAGCCTGTGCGGATGACACGCATGACACAACCAAGCACTATGCAAGATCGTCAAGCACATCACAGAAAAGGACGAGAACCCCTACCTCGTCGCTGAAGAGAAAAAAGCCTCCTGGTGGAAGCGCACGTCGCACTGCTCGTCGGTAGCGGGCCATGTCCCGCCTTGCCTGGATCTGGCGGCGTAGCTCTGGTGTGAGCTCCACGCGGGCGGGGGGGGGAGGAGGAGGAGGAGGAGGAGGAGGAGGAGGAGGAGGAGGAGGAGGAGGAGGAGGAGGAGGAGGAGGGGGGTGGGAAACCCAAGGGTCCCCAGCCGCCTCTCTAGCCCGCAACAAGCCCTCCTCGGCCCAAGGATCCACCTCCTCTTCCCACGGGGCCACGAAGGGGCCCTCGTCACACCCAGGGTCTACCGCGGGGGGCTCCTGAGGTCTCTCAGTGGGGGCAAGCTGCTGGGGCAGAGGACGGTCAAAACGGGTGTCCCTGGGCCCCTTCTGGAATCCAGCAAAATCTAACGCAATGTCAGACGGATGCTCCGCGGTATCTGCAGCATAAACATCAAGAGCCTGAAAAAAAACACGCTCAGCTCGTCAAGAATATCACTTTAGTCCAGCATATCTGGATCCGATATCTGAAATGCCTCTTCCACAAATCTCGCATCTGCTCTGGCCATCGCAGCACGCAGGTCCTGAGGGTACCTTTTTTTGGGAGCAGTGCGCCACTTGCCTGTTTGGGGATCAATGCCCAGGAGGGTGGCATGGGCAGTGCGGGAATGGGGGCACCGACCCCCGAACCCCTTGCTCCGTATTTCTTCGGCCAGGGATTCCAACCGCATGCAAAGAAACGAAGTCGGGGCTCCGCTCACCTGTCCAAATATACATTGGTCAAGCGAAATGGTTCTGGAAGGGGGCGCAGCACTCAACGCGCAGCTGGTGGCAGATTGCCAGGGCGAGGGGGCCCGTGGTTCCCAGTGGGCCTGCTCTGGGTGTTCCTTCAAGGCACGCGCGCCTACCTCTAGGCAGGTCAACATTAGCCGATGCTGGCTGAGTAAGAGCTGTGAACCAATGGAGAGCTGTAGGTGCCGGCGAACACTGACATCAGGTCGACCCCACCCGCGCCTCAAAGTTCGAAGAGGAGCAGGAGGACGATGGCGATCAGCAGCTCTGAGCTCCGGCCACCTCGCTGCAGACCATGTCTCGCAGGGGGGGGCGCCTATCAAACCAATGGCACGGCCTGTTCTCAGAAGCATATCCCACTTATCAACAATGTCGGATCGAGTCAAGTCTCCATTGACTGCATCACACGCCGCATCACACGAAATAATGATAATAGTAACTGGCCCCGACATCAGAACACGTTCTAACTCATCCTGGACATCACCTTGTCGTCTAGCTCCTGAGAACAGATGCAAGCACGCAAGTGCAACAGCATACTGCAATGGCCTCGGACACTGCTCAGCAGCTGGGCCCTGATACTCAAGAGGTCCAAACTGATGTTCATCCTCGGGGGGGGCTTCGCGACGGGGATCTTCTTCTTGCACCTCGAAAAGGGGCTCGGGGTCCTCCTCAAACTGGTAATCCATGGGGCGGATAACTTGCCAAGCATCCCGATACGGAAGACTGGATAATTGAGGAATGTTGCGAGGCCCAGGGGCCCGATAGGCAGGGGGCCAGGCCCCCCGACGCATGGCACCCTTGCTTCGAGCAGACCTTCTCTCAAGGGCCTCTTGGGCCCGAACTTCTTCAAGCACTTCTGGAGCCTCTGGAACCAAGTGGGAGAGGGCCGAGATGTAGCAGTTGGGGTTCCCATCAGCAAGATGGTCAATACTAAGCTCGACCGAACTGAGCCGAGTCAAACATATCGGACAGGTACTGCTATGAATATATATATATATATATGTATTGCCGCCACCGCTCTCTGTCGAAAATGCAGACGAGCGATATGCTGCTTCGCCGCAGCACACTTGGGAGACGTAAGCGCACAGAACGGGCAGCGATGCATAACAGGAACAGGTGCCGGCCTCAGCGAAAGATCTGGTGGCGCACCAATCCGCGCAGCATGCTGGAAAAAACTCTGTGCCCTCTGGCGTACATCCTCGATTCTGCAGGCCCACCGTATATGAGCCTCCACCCCAGACCGAACTAGGTTAGCCCAGTGTTGTCCCCGTCCAAGAATCTCCTTCTCCCAGACGGCAAACTCCGAGAAGGGGCTGGGGAAATCCCTGAGCCTAGACACCCTCGTACGAAGCCATCGGAGATCATCCATAATCATGTTGAACCAGGAGTGATTGGGTTCCGAAGTAGCCCGAACAAGCCCAAAGAGAGCCCCAGGAGCATAACGATACAGCCGACTAAGGTACCGAAGACGATGCCGTATCAACATTATATTCACGTCACATCGTTGGGCAGCAGCAAGAATAGCGGAGTCCGGGTCCGCTCCATCATCATACGCTGGCCTGCCCAAGGCAGAGCGGTAAATACGCACGATGCCAGCTCGATACCGGTTAAACTGCGCCAAAGAGGGTTGTGGCCACGTGGTCGCATTGTAGAGCCTGCCGGACATGATCAGCGCATCCGTGAGCTGGAGCTTATGTTGATACTGAAGCTGCTTATTGGGGAAGACCACCTGACGGAGTGCCTGAAGGGACGACGACATAGACGACACCCGGTAGGCCAACTCCGGGGCCAGGTCTTGTTTATCCGAAAGCATACCTCCCAGATGTGTGTACGTGTGCACGGCCTCCAGAGTAAGCCCCTTGGGAAACGTGCAAGTCGGCGGGATCGAAACCTCCCCTTCCTCCTCAATCCAGAACTGCTTGCGGGCCATGACAGCCCCTGAGCCCCTGAAGGTGATCATGAGAGCGCTCTTGGTGGGCCCCGCGTTGATCTTGAGGCCCGCGGGGGTGAAGGAGTCGGCCACAATAGCCATCAGCGCGCGTTTGCGCGCCACAATCTCGCCAGCAGGTCCCCATGCATTGAAAAGACTGTCATCACTGTGCTCAACATCATTGGCAGAGACCTGAGCATCACACTGCGCTAGTGGGTCCAGGGTCCTGGTATTCGGGATAGCCAACTCCTGATGTAGCCCAGCCTCCTGGATACAGTCCCAAGTCTTCCGAACGCACCTTGGCACAATAAATAGAAAAAGCTGAGCAGCTAAAGTATTCCCCGGCCTGGTACCTGTAGTCATGATCGAAACCGAACCTGGTCCCTGGGTCGTGGCCCACGTACCTGTCAAGGTCTCTGCCAATACTCCCTGTAAATGGTCTGGCACTTTAAGATCATCAAGCAGAGGCGGACGAGCAAGCTCCGCAGCCAAGGCCCCCATACAGGAGGGTGGTAAACCCGAGGCTTGCAGGAGTTGAGCAATGCGAATATCCGCGAAAAACTGTTCGCCCTCGAACCTGACAAGGATTTCACGGATAGCATGGTGAAACGCGGCCTCCAGGTCCACGAATAAGGTAGGCATGGACTCCGAACGCATGCGGGAGTGCTCTTGCATGAGTCGCACCATGTGTGCAGCAAAATCGGTGCCGCACCCAGGTATACCTCCACACTGAGATTCTGGTGCGAAAGCATCAAGATATGGCTGAAGGCGCTGCGCAACTAGGGCATGAGCACGCATGCCAACGTGGGGCCCTATGGCCACATATCTACTAGCATTGCACCTGTTGGGGAGACCTCGGCCCTTGTAAAGATCAGCAAGCCGAGAGCTTTTCCACTGAAGGGGCTCGTGCACACACAGCATGTACTTCATCACCAGGGGGAAATAAAGTCTGGCACACTCCTTTGAACAAGATTTTAGGACAGCCCCAGGGACACAATCCAACCCGTTGGCACAGGTACCCGAGGTCCTCAGCATCTGCTGTTCAAACATGGCCAGCGTAGGTAGGTTCATGGCAGCAGACGCGTCAATCGTATCGATCTTGGCACGAGACTCCCCTACAAACTCGAGTAAGCTATGAGCAGGAACTCGAAACCCATGCTCCTGCTCAGCAAAGTGTTCTAGCCACCGTTCACGAGGCGCCGTCGGTGTCAAAGCCGGCGTGCCGTCTTTCAAACGGACCTGGGCGGACTGGCAGGCGGCCTTCTTCTTCGCGGACCCTATTTCCAGCGATCTCAGCTGGCCAAAGGCCTGCCTAAACTCTTTCTGGAGAAACGAGCTCGAGATGTTCCTGGATACTTGTTCCATCTTGGTAGCCTTGTCCATATCACATGACCAGCTACTAAGGCGTGAAGTCAGAAACGCAACGTTACTAGACATGGCCCGCATCAGGCCGCACCACTGTCGATAACATCCAAGAAAAGCACCAGGCTGAGGTAGGCTAATAGACCTGGCATCCAGAGCAGGGACCCGAGCAAATCTAGAACCCAGCACCATGAGATATTCCCAATCGGACTCCCGAGCAAGACATTGACCCACAGGAAGATGTAGGCGAGCAGCCCGTTGGAGGGCCTGAAGATGTGCATGGTGCTCCTCAAGGAGCCTCCAGAGACGTTGACGAAACTGCAGACTCTGAAGCTGGGTAGGCCCACTGCGGAGCCTGAGACGTCCCCATATCCCAGTGTGCTCCTGGAAATCCAAGGAGGCCCAGGCCTGAAACGCGACCTGCAGGAGGACCCTGGGGACCCTCCGAGACCAGCTGCGGTGGAGGGCCCCGAGGTGCTTCCGAAGTGACAAGAGCTCGAGGGTCCGTTCGCTGACCCAGTCCTGCCGGCGGGGGTCCTCGGGGAGCAAGTGCTGGACGGAGAACGCGGCAATATGGACATCCACTCGTGCGCAGTGCGCAGTCGCCGACTCGGACCAGTCTGGCTCTTGAAACTCGGCAACATGTTGCTTAAAAGCAGCTCTGATTTCTGGGGCATTCAGGCGTTCAGCTTGCATGCGGAGCTGCGGCCAACGAAAGCAAGAGAACCTGAAGAAATACCAACCTCTACGAACGTAGGGCTGTGGTCCTCCACTGCATTGGCCAGATCCACCTTACGATCCACCTGGGCACAAGTAACAGAGCTTAGCCAGTCCTGTGGTATCAGAACATAGTCCAACCTTTTGCATGTCTTGCCATTCGCGCGCACATGTGTACAATGCGTGTCATGCTCAGGAGCAGGGATAAAGGTAGAGGGTGCAGCCAGGTTAAGCCCATGACAGAAACTGCGCATGCACTTACCAGAGAAATTCTCATTGGCAGCCTCCACGCCCCCGATCTGCTGAGAACATATTGATCCAACCTCGGCATTCGCATCGCCCATGAACACAGGGTGGACCCCTGGGGCCAGGAAGGACCTCGCAAGATTCGGAATATCAAGCCACCACCGTTCTACCGGAGAGACATCCCTCCGTGCAGAGTGGGGAGCATGGGCAGCAACAAGCAAGAGATGCAGGCCAGGCACATGAAACCGCAATATCAGCCGACCCGCATCGGCATGTAGTTGAGCAACATGCTGCCTGCCTGGCTCCACACCCTTCACGGGCAACTCAGAATTGATCCAGATAGCCACTCCATCTGAGCCGTCCTCAGCACACTTAGAGTAGTACATCATGAAGTCACCTACCTTCCTTGGCATAGCCGTCTGAATCCTGGTCTCCAGAACACCCAAGAAGTGGTACTTGGAATCCGAGAATTGCTTAGCCAAGAACGATATCCTCCCAGGGGCATTCAGGCCGATGACCGTCAGGAGCCTGGCGGGGCGAGGGGCCTTCCTACGGGACCCTTTGGTGCACTTACTGTTCCCTTGGAGGGTGAGAACATTGGCGGCCCCAAACTTGCAGTTGTCTAGGGCCTGCACGGGGGCCTCATCCAGGATGGTCTGAACCCCGACAACCTCCTGGACCCGGTACCCCTCCGAGGACACCTCCCCGACCCTCAAGGCGTTAGCACCTATGATGTTCGGCAGGTCCGCGGAGCGGTCGTTGCGCATCCATGCCCAGGCAAGGGCGCACGAATCAAAGAGGAGAGAAGTGAAGGGCATGTGCTCCATGCTGGGCAACGGGCCCATGCCGGTGAGACGTGCTAGCGCGTCAGCAAGCTCATTATATCCCTCCCCCCTATGACTGTGAATGCGCCCACCATCTATAGTGCAAGAAACCGAGAGGAACTGAACAAGGGCCCATCAAGAACGTGAGCCCCGAGCTGGCAACCTCACAGGTTTGGGCACCCATCAGAACTCCCAGGGTTCGCATCGAATCCGGACGAAGAGTGACAGGAATGTGTCCAAGTTGAGCTTGCGCAATCCATGCCAGCGCCCAAGCAGCAGCCAAGATCTCAGCAGTGTCGGAATGGAAGGACGATGGGAATAGATCCATAACATCCTCAAGAACCACATATATATATATCCACGCAAAGCCCGGGGTCCATCAAAGTACTCATATATAATCACAGCCGCCGATGCAGGGACAAACGATATGTCAGAACCATCAGCGCCTCCAGTTCCATCCGTATACATTAAAACACGAGTGGGAGGAAGGAGGGGGAGGAAAGGCACATGCTGCTGCAGAACCGCGGAGGTGGCTGGGCGCAGGTAGGCAGACAGAGCCTCCTCGCACAGCTGATGAACTTGAAATGGCCAGGGCTGCCGAATCAAATCAACAGCTGCTTGCACGGGAAAAAAGGGGAAGTTACGTTGGCAGGCTGGCGGCTGCTGGTCAGTAGAGGTCCTTTCAGAGACTCGCGGATCTCCAGGGCCTCCCTCTCGAGCAGCAGCCGCTAGTCGTTTATCTGGCGGTCGTCGCGGCCCATTGCACGAGAACCAGACCTCTTGCCCGCAGCTCGCGAAGTAGACCGGCGCGGAGGCTGGCTGTGCTCTCGGCGCGGCGGCTGGCTGGGCTGCCTGCCTCCTTGGCGAGCGGCTGGCAGGCCGCTTCAAGCCCCCCCCTGGCGCCTCCTCGCCCACGTGGGCCCTGGGGCGCGCAGCCTCGGCTGCCGTGCCCGCTGGAGGGGCAGCCCCTGGGGCCGTCGCCGCAGCGGGAGGGGCATCTCCTGGGGGGGCAGCTTGCTGGGCATCGGCCGCAGGCACTGCCGCAGCAGCGGCTGCCTGGGGGCCTGGCGCGGCTCCCATCACCGCTGGCTCGCCCGCAAAGGCCACCTGCGGTTGGGGGACGGGGACGCCAATGCCTCCACCCGCCTGGATCTGCATCTGGTGGATGACCCCCGCGAAGCCCTGCAGCTGCGCCATCATCGCCGAGATCTGTGCCTGGTGAGCTGCCAGCGCTCCCAGCGCCGTCATGGGCAGCCCTCCACCAATCGGACCACCTGCAGCCGTAGCACTCGTTGGTATACTCCCCGTCGCAGCAGACTCTGGTGCATGGACCTCTGGAGACTTCTTGGAAGCCTCCGCCTCGGCCTGCATCAAGGCCTTGATCTCGGTGATCGTCTTGGACATGTGGTCGAGGTCGCGCTTGGCCACCTCTACGTCCTGGGTAGCCTGCTGGACTTGAGTCTGCAACTCGCCTAGCACGGTATTCGCCTTGTCCAGGCGGCGCTCGGCTCTCTCGCGAGCCTCCTCCTGCTTCATCAGCTGGATCTTCAGGCCGCGAGCACTGAACAGCATGGTCAGCGTCGTCGCGAACTCGAGCACCGCGTCTTCGTAGCCCTCGCCAGCATCGTAGCGGTCGAAGATGATCGTACTCAGGGCGGCCAGTCGGGCTGAGACCTGCTCCATGTAGGTCTCGATCTCTGACTCGGACGCCTGGGCCCCAGGGGGGGCCCGCCATCTGGGATGCCCTCTCGCCACCTGAGGCAGCGCAGGGCGGATGTGGAACAGGTCCTTGGCCGAGCGATACTCGTCGACGGCGCTGTCCTTGTCCTTGTCCTTGTCCTTGTCGTTGTCCTTGTCGGTCAGGGACAAGGCAGCCTTGTCCTTGTCCTTGTTCCTGCCTTTGCCTCCCTTGCCCTTGCCACGGGCATCTGCAGAGGCAGGAGGGGCACTGCCTGAGCGGCGAGTACGTCTCCACGGAGGAGTCGACGAGGATGTAGGACGTGTAGAGCCGCACTGGCGGCAATCGGCACGGTCGCCCCAGTTCATACAGGAGCAGGTGGAGCACGACCATGGCGCAGTAGGCGGCGCCCATGATACTGAGGACGCGGACTTGGTCATGCTGTCGGCGGGCCGTCCTCGCTGTCGACTGTGATGTCGTTGTAGCAGGCGTCGTGCCGCCTCCAGGCGGAGGAGGACACGGGCACGTGAGCGGTCCGCTCGGGCCCTGCGGTGCCACGCTGGCTCAAGAGCCCGGCCAGCGTGGCGAGGGCCTGCACGGCCGCGGCGCAGCACAATGGCGGGCTGCGTGCAGTCAGCGGCGCGTCTAGCAGCTGACCCGGTAGTGAGGGGCGCGCAGTTACCTGGTAACTGCTCCCAGGGCCCCTCGAGCCGGGACGGCGGCTGGAGGAGGAGGAGGAGGAGGAGGAGGAGGAGGAGGAGAGGAGGAGGGGAGGAGGAGGAGGAGGAGGAGGAGGAGGGCGGCACAGACGCGCAGTGGCCTGCCGTGTGGCCCACGTCGTCCCACAGGCCCCCCAGGTCGAACTCGCGGCTGCGGCGCGGCAGGTCTGCCTGGAGGAGGCGCGCCGCTCGCGCGGACGCGCTCCCGCCAAGCCGGGCCGACTTCGGCGGGCGTGGCTCATTTTCCCAACCTCCTCCTCCTCCTCCTCCTCCTCCTCTCCTCCTCCTCCTACCCCTCCTCCTCCTCCTCCTCCTACCTCCTCCTCCCCTCCTCCTCCTCCTCCTCCTCCCCCTCCTCCTCCTCCTCACCTCCTCCTCTCCTCCTCCTCCTCCCTCCTCCTCCTCCTCCTCCTCCTCCTCCTCCCTCCTCTCCTCCTCCACCCTCCTCCTCCTCCTCCTCCTCCTCCTCCTCCTCCTCTCCTCCTCTCCTCCTCCTCCTCCTCCTCCTCCTCCTCCTCCTCCTCGTGCATGTGCTCCCTCTCTCTCTATCCCTCGTTATCTCTCCCTGTCCCTCTCCCTCCCTCTCTCTCTCTGTCTCTGTCTCTCTCTCTCTCTCTCTGTCGGACGTGTCCTTGTTTTTGTCCGACCTCACCGACAGATCGCTGGGCTTCCGGAGCACCATCGACGGAGCCTGGCTCGAGTTCGTGGACGAAGCGATCTTAAAGACGACAGGCACTGCCATGACAAGGGCGCGACGGATATGGTGGGCAGAACCTACCGATATCTGTGTGTTGTGTGATATATCCGCCACTGGTTCCTTGTCTAATCCTCTAAGCCTCAATCCTTCCTCCTGAGAAGTCTTTGACGGGCCTGGGCCCCAAATTCCGAAATCTTCTGGGGGTTGTCGCGTGCCCCATTGAGGCTTCCCGCGTGCCACTGGGTTTCGGATGTGGTGGTGCGTGCAGTTCTTGGGCCCAAGAGGGCCCCAAGCTGGACCAAGAGGGCCCGAAGAGGCCCCCAAGTCGGTCCCAGAGGGCCCCGAGTCGCCGAACGATCGCTCCAAGACGCTCAAGATGGTTCCCAGACGGCCCAAGAGGCCTCCAA